TGGGTTCTGTGCTCTCTCAGAGATTAAAAGAGTCCCATAACTTTGTGTTAGCTTTACTTATTATTTTCTCCTTCTCTTAAAGGCAGATACTTTGTGAGCAGAGAAATTATATTTTCTCTACTATATGCTTAATAGGAGTAATTAATACCTGAGTAGTGGGTCTTCTAGATATTTACTGAAAGAATGAATGCACACTTCATTTTTAGGGGGGTTGTGGAGCCCATAAATCTACAGAAAAGGATAATTAAGAGGCTGGAACCAAATGCATGACTTCATGAAGATAGGACATGAAGCAGAGGAGATCTTAAGAGAAGTCCGTTTCAGAAAGTGAATACTAATGGCAACTCTGGAAGGAAGAAATAAAATTACAAATGGGAGCAGGTTCAGAAGCAAGCACCCAAAAAGAACTAAAATAAAGATTGAGCTATTTAGGAAAATGGAAAAAAACTGGCAAACTAGGACAGTATTTCTTGATCTTAGCACACTTGATGTTTGGAACTAGAAAATTTTATGGAGGTCTGTTCTATGCATTGCGGGTTTTAGCAGTAAACTTGGATTCTGCCAACTAGATCCCAGTAGCAGCCCCTTTACTGCCACCACCTGATGGTTTTATTGTACCAAAAAATGTAGACAGTTACCCTAATTATTTTTAAAGTATTATTATATTTTCACTTCCTGGAGTGAATTGTCTTACTATGCTCACTCAAAATCAGGTTATTATTACCCAAATATGTTATTAATTTTTTGGGGTGTTAGGGGTTTTTCTCAGTATCTGGTTTTGATTAAAAGTCTAATTTTAACATGCTCTTCCCCACTTGAGAGTAATTATTATATAAAATGAATACAAAATTTTTGTAGTAAATAAAATTAGTATTTCTTTGACCACTGTTTATCTGTTACAGCTTAAAGTAAATTCAAGAGTATCTAGGTTTTTTTTTTTGTAGTTTAAATTCATGTTAATTAATTGACAGTGTAGTATAGATAAGAGTACCTAGTTTAATGTCATTATGTATATTGTTTGAATATTTGGAACCTAGATATTTGAAATTATTTGTCCAGGGTGACTGAATCAGGCAATAAGAAACCGTGATTAAAAGTCATACTTAAATAAAAATAGTTTATAGTTATAATGATTCTCAAATCTTAAATTGGAAAAATGTAATATGTCTATAGAAAGATGCAAAATGAAAGCAACATAGTACAAAAGTAGATTACTTGAAGTTCAAATATAAACCCCTTGCTATGGAAGTTAAAGTGAGGTGACATGGTGTTATCCTATAAAGGAAACTTTTAAAGGCAAATTTTGTTATTATCTCACTGAAAAGAAAAAAATAACTTAATGACAATTATATTTTGGTTCAGGATGTATTTGATTGAATGGTTAGAGGAAAATGTGTTTTGATCATCAAGAGCTGAACAAAGAAATGCTTTGAGTGAGTTCATTATTGGCTGGCTTCATTGTTTTTTGTTTGTTTGTTTAATTTTAGAGAGAAAGAGCCAGGATGGGGGTGGGAAGGGGTGGGGAGAGAGAGACAGAGAGAGAGAGAGAGAGAGAGAATATTAAGCAAACTCAGTATGGAGACTGATGCAGGGCTGAATACCACAACTCTGGGATCATGACCTGAGCCGAAATCTAGAGTCAGACGCTCAAGCAACTGAGCCACCCGAGTGCCTCTTGGCTTGGTTTCTTAATAACAGTCGTGGCAATGACAATTTGGTGACTGATCTATCTCTTTTTCTCTTTCTTTCTCTCTGTTTATTTCTTCTTTTTTTTCTAAATGGATTTTAAAATTCTCATATCCTTTATAATGCAAAATATTATTAAATTAAAAATGAATATATAGTAAGATGAATATATTAAAATTAATGTGGATAAAACTAACATATATATTACATAACATGAATATATAAATTAAACCATTCACATAATCATAGTTTGATTTCATACATGAAGGAATGAAGGCTAAGAGAAGTAGGTTGATTTAACCACTATGAGAAAAATAGTAGTAGAAACAAGGTTATATCCTAAGTCTTCTGATCGTTGATTACATGCTTTTCCTTCTTTTTTAAGTGCATTTATTTATTTATTTATTTATTTATTTTTGAGAGGGAGACAGAGTGTGGGAGTGAGGAGGGGCAGAGAGAGAGGGAGTAGAGAATCTCAAGCAGGCTCCACACTGTCAATGCACAGCCGGACACAGGGCTGGAACCCACAAACCATGAGATCATGACCTGAGCCAAAACCAAGAGCCTGTTGCTTAACCAACTGAGCTACAGAGGCTCCGCAATTATATGATTTTCCTAAGCTTCCCTCAGCTTTTACCCAATGAGAAGCAATAGGTTTTTCCCTCTGTTTCCCTTAATCAGTAATGGGCTTTTATCTGAGAAATTATATACCAATCCATTCTTTATAGGATTTGGTTGGCCAATTGTTTGGTATTAAAAAAAAAAAAGATTCCCTCTTCACGCATGTGCTTTCAGTCTTGTCCTCACCCTATCAGTGTAATTCTCTCCATTTTCTTATTCTGAGCTTCTCAAATATTTCCCACTACAATGGGGTGTCTATCATTATCTTCCATATGTCAAGGAATTAGAACATGTATTACTAATATATCTAAACCAACCTAGATACATCATTAAGCATCAATGTTACATTCCTACTTTAAAGGTAGTAAAAACTGGAAGTGAAATTTCTGAAAGAAAGGATAAATATGTATTAGATTTACTGTAAGTACTTTTAGAAAGAATATTTAAGAATTAAAAATGTTTTATATCCATTGTAGTATATGTGTATTAAAATATTCTATATTGCACATTACCTTTTTGACATCTGCAAATCTGTTTATATCTAAATAAGGTTTTTAATTGTATAAGTAATTAATGCAATATAAATAATAAGTAATTAATGCAAGTACTATACTATAGAAAAGGAAAATGTTTAAATAGCTATTTCACAGGTAATGACATGAATAAATGATTCAAACAACAAAGTGGTCCTGAAATATAAACCAAAAAATAGATACTCTGGGCATTAGAAGTAAGCTTATAGCTACAGAATCTAATAAATTTCTGTTGATCTAGTAATTCAGCACATATTATATAGAAAGGAACTAGTGGACACATCCCATAAATTCCTTATGTTTGTTCTTGTCAAAGAGTTTTCTGACTTGCCTTTTTCAAGCAGAGTAAATAAGAATAAAATTTGGTTTGTATATCAAGATGCATATACAAGTATTACCAGTTTTAATTACCCATGGGGATTTAAATTCTAGACTAGTCCACCCCAACTCCCCCAAAGAACCGAGCAGGACCAGATGATTCTGGGAATTCAATCCAGTGCAACTCAGGTCAATTCAATCAATGAAATATTAAGCTCTATTCAAAGAGCCAAAGACAAAGTGAGGTGTGAAGTACAGGACTTGATCTCAAGGTCAAGTGTCAAGGTGTTGACACTCTTCTGGGAGAGAACAAATGAAAGTGCATAAGAAGTCACTTGACTATCATGAGAGAGTATACAATGCAATGGTAACTTAATTTACCAACACTTATCAAATCCTTATTAAAATGGACTAGGTAAAAGAAAGCACAGGCAAATAACCCAAATAAGCTCTTTGTTCAGGAAGAACCAAAGGAAATTATTCACTGTATAGTTTCTTTGGTGTAGATTTCTGTTATTATATTTTCATGTGGTTGCTTTCATTAACTAAAAGTTGCCTATCACAACAACCATAAAATGTACCTTAACCCACTGATCTTGGACACCCAATCAGATGCGACATGTGATAAGTCTGCTACTGTGTGCTTTCTGGAAATATTGCTCAGATTGCTGCCACTTTTCCTTCTCCTTATAATTGAAATAACATTTAACCTTTAATGTCATCTATGCCATATTGCCAGACATTTAAAGATGACTGATATAATTGGAACATGAAAAAACATATCAAAGTGTTTTAAAATCAATGAAAAAATACTTTATAGAACTTTTAAAAATAGTTTTTTCTTAGAGGATTAAAAATTATTAGCACATTTTAATTGCTTGGATGAAGCTATTAAAGTTTAAGTTAACGCAAAATTCTCCATCACGGTAATGTATCTATCATAACTTTATAGCGTTAACATAGGATGTATTAACATGTGATTATATTTACTTTTATCTGGCTAGTGTTTCCCTTTCTTCTTTGATATATTTTCATACTGTCCATAAAAATAATAACCACGCTTATTAACACAAAACCTTTCTTAAGACACTAACTTCTACTACATTCAGATAGTGCCAAAAAAAGAACACTCAAAATGAATAGAAGATAGTTCACACAAGCATTCATTGTTACTTTTCATTCGACTCCCAACCACAACTAATTTTCCTCACTTTTATAAGTGAATAGAGTAGAAACTTGTCTCTGTCCACGTATCGCAGTAAGTAAACCACTTCTACCTGCTTGTCTTCTATGTATTTTCCTTTATATAAATGTGGCCACAGTGAGACTTAAGAAAAGTAAATAACACTCATATCTGAAATAAGTTTTTTTATAAAAAAGCTATTTTTTTTGGCCTTAGGTCATATTTTTAATGACATTTGCTTTCTCATTCTATAGAATATTAAACTACTTTTAAATGTCTTTTCTTCCCTGTGAAAATCAAGAGCGATGGGAACCATTGCATATGTATCTATCTAGTCATTTCAAGTAGCCAGATTGACGTATAGTTTTCTCACTATCATTGATTTCTCACTACAAATTCTAAAAGCGTAATTTTAGTACTTCTTTAATCCATGAGGAAATGGACAGAATTAATTCTATCAAGTGAATTTCTACCTTTACCATGCTGTATTTATTTATTCTGTGGTTTTTCAAATTATAATTTCTATTCCATAAACAAAAATTGCTTTATGGATATTTAGAGAACAAAATTTATAAGAATGATGATCTTGATAACCTTCAAATTTTCCTAAGACATGTAAAGAAAGAATGTAACTATTTGCCATTTCAGTGCAAACTTACCTTGCCCACGTATTGGTAATCAGATCCTGTGTATTCCTCCAGTAAGAAAAATTGATTCCACATCCACCCACGTTTTTGACGATGCAGAATTTTGCCATCACTCCTAGGTACACGTGCACCTAAAATTCTTTGCTGGGGTACAGGAGTCCTTCTGAACATTATCTCTGGAGAACAGAAATGTGGCAGGCATACCCAGAGTAGAAATAGTAGCAAAAATTGGTATATTGTCATAGTTCACTTCTTGAAAATTTCCAACGTGGATGAAGAGAAAGCAGTCCTGTTTTATTGAGTTGAATTTTACTGTGTTTCAACTGGTTTCCAACATCTCATCAATGTTTTGGACATGTTTCCAAAAGCTTCAAACAAAAAAACAAATAAAAAAAGTCAGTTGAAAACATTATGAATGTTACCTGTTACCTTAAATATGAAATTGATAAAGATTAGTAGCAAACAAAATACCTACTTTCCTGCTGTTTTATAAAATAATGATTACTTTTGGAAGATATTGCTTGTCTAGTAACATGTCAGCAATTTATGAAAAGATGATGGTAAATAATGTCTTTCAGACAAATTTTAAGGAAGGGGCATATTAAGCTTTGTTTCTTTTTTCTCTTGTGATTATAACAGTTTTCAGGAATTATGATCCCTATATGGAGTAGGGATGAAGTTAATTTTTCACATCAATTTTTTCAGAGTAACTTAACATAAATTAAAAAACTGAAAACAAAATATTGATTTAATTAAAGCTACAGAAAACATGCATCTGTTGTGCGATACAATGATATTTGAATGTTTTTAAACAGCAGCAGTTTCTTCCAATTTAATTCTGCTCAAAGGTAAAAGCAATATAAGAACAAATAAAACACTTGAAGTGCCTTTGGCTGAAGAGTTCTCTCTTCCCTCTTAAAGTAGAAAAAAATCACTACTAAAGTAGATCCATTTATAATATAATTCATACTACTGTGTAGAGGGAGTGAATGACATTGTCAGCTGTACTCCCACTACAAAAGTTCTGAGTCTAGAACTCCACACTGCCCCAGTCTGACTAGGGAGGGCCATAGATTCCAGGCTGCTCTCCACCTCCCTCTCTCTGCTTGCTTCCTCAACCCAGGTAACCCTATTAAATATAAATGAGATTATGTCACTTATCTGAACAAAAAACTCACATGAAGTCTCCTCTCACTTTGATTAAAACCCATGCCTTACAAAAACCTACAATTCTGTACTTGATTTCATGACTACTGGTCACTTCTCTGACCTCATATTTTACCCCAATCCCCCATGTCACTTCCTAAAACTGACTCCTTTCCAGCCAAAGTGTCCTTCTTCTTTCACCTTGCAATACACTTCATATTCTCCTCTCCTAAACTAGAACGTTCTACTTTTTCCTTCTATTTGTAATGTTTTTTCCACATAGAGGTCCACTTGGTTAGACTTCTTGCCTCCTTCAGGTCTTTCTTGAATCCTCCCCTAACATTCCATATATACCCATATACTATAAGTGCTTTATTTTATTTGGGATGCATTCTGTCTCCCTGCTGTAATCCCATGGGTTGTTTTGCTACTGTATAACAGACTCTTACAGCAGATGATCAATAAACATTTTAATTGAATAAATGAATATATTGTAAGTTGATTAAAAAATCTGAGTACCATTCCTTTTTCTATGTAGTTATGCTCCAACACTTATGTATGGAAATACATTTTTGAAATCATAATTACTTTATTTTATTCTTTGTTTATATTATTGTTAATCCTCACAATCTTGTTTTTAGTTTAAGATCTCCTCCATAGATTGTTCTTTGTTTGTTTCCTGTTAGGTAAGGATTTTATTTCAGAATAGGATAAAACATTTCTTACAAAAAAGTAGTTTTGGTACCGAAGGATTGAGTTCCTTTTCTCTAATATGGCAAGCATTCTAAGTCCTCCAGCATTGACACTGACATTTATGCTTTCATCCACAATAATCTGTTAGCAATCTGCTTATTCTTTTTGGTTTTCTTTTATTAAGAAGATTTAAAAGTTAATGCAAACATGTTTTACAAACAAGATTAATGGTGAAGCAGTATTCCCTTGAGTGTATTAAATGACAGTGGAGTTCTCTACAGCATGTGAAGCATTCAAAATGACAGATGTAAACTGTATTAAAAAATCATGTATTGCTACTCTTGGAGTATAGAAATTATCTGATACATAAAATGATTTTACCTTACAAAGCACTGACATTACAGAAACTTAAATTAATTGGATTCTAAGTAATAGGAACATTTACCAAACCAATGTTTGTCTTTTTATGTAACAGGGCATGATAGATAATATTTCCAGAAACTTTCACTGTTCCTAAAAATTAGAGGACAGTGTAATTTACTGTATCTACTTTCTGTGAAAGCTTTAACACTTATTGAAGCAACATTCTCATTTCATCTCTTTTTTTCATTTTAAAAATATATTCCAGCAACTATAAGATATATTGGCAATCATTTTCAATGCAATTATAACTATCTATAATTTTAAAAGTTTAAGCATCAATATTTTGGGGAATAAGTAGGTGGAGATGATAACTGTGAAAATTGCTAGTAAATAACTGGAGCTCTACATACACATGGAATTTTTTTTTCATCATTTTTCTGGTTTCCTATATGTTAAAAATATATTTTACATGAATTAAATATTTGATAAACCATTTAAAATAATGACAAGATTAAATAAAATTTTTAAAAGCAAAAGTTTTAAACTTTTTTAATGATTTTTTAAATTTACTTTTGAGAGAAAGAGTCAGAGAGCAAGCAGGGGAGGGGCAGAGAGGGACACACAGAATCCCAAGCAGGCTCCAGGCTCTGAGCTGTCAGCACAGAGCCTGATGTGGGGCTCAAACTCACAGACCACAAAATCATGACCTGAGCTGATGTCTGATGCTTAACCACCCAGGTGCTCCCAAAAGTTTTACATTTTGATTATTTTGATTTATGATTTTTTTCTTTTATTCGATTGGGCTTTTGGTCCCATATCTAAAAATCTTAGGGGACACCTGGGTGGCTCAGTCAGCTAAGCATCTGACTCTTGATCTCAACTTAGTTCAATGTTTCATCTGTCCCTCCCCTGCTTTTGCTTTCTCTCATTCTCTTTCTCTCTCTTTCTCTCAAATAAATGAATAAACTTAAAATCTATGCCTAACTTAAGATCAAGAAGATTCATCTCATGTCTTCTTTTCAAAGGTTTATTGTCTTAGTTCTAACACTTAGGTCTATGATCCAACTTGAATCAAGTTCTGTATATAGTATGAGATATGAACTGAAGTTCTTTGTTTTGCATATGAATATCTACTTTCCCAAGCTCCGTTTGTTGAAAAGTCCATTCTTTCTCCTCTGTATTGCCTCTGTGCTTTTGTCAAAAATCAGTTTGTCTACATATGTGTGTCTATATATGTCTACATTTGCATTTTATATTTAAATTTTATAATTACCTTGAAATTTCTATATAAAAGCCTGTGAGGATTTGACTGGGATTGCATTGAATCTTTAGATAAATTTGGGGAAAATGACCATCACAGCAACATTGACTCTTCTGACCTAAAAACCCTATATATCTCTACATCAATGAGTTCATCTCAGTAATGTTTTAAAGATTTCAGTGTTCAGATCTTGCTTTCTTTTTATCAAATATTACCCTAATATTTTCATATTTTGTTGTTATTTTTATTTCTAAACCACTTTGTTGAGATATGATTGAGATACAAAAATCTGTTCATGTTTAATTTATACAACTTGATGAGCTTGAACACTGTTAAATACATTACTTAATAATGATTTTAAATCATTAAAATATGTTTAAATATATTTAAAAAAAGACAAGCCAACAATATATAATAACATATTACATTTGGCTATAGACATGTCTAGAATATACAAAGAATGCTCAAAATCCAAAAATCAAAAAGCATAAAGTCCAATAAAAAATGGGGAAAGTATTTGAACCAACATTTTTACCTATAGAAAGCAAAAATGTACATGAAAAGGTATCCAACGCTGTTCGTTATCTGAGAAATGCAAATTAAAATGACCAACTATTGGGGCACGTAGGTGGCTTATTCGGTTAAGTGTCCAACTCTTGATTTCAGCTCAGGTTATGATCTCATGTATTAAGGTGGAATCTCAGCGCTGCTTAAGATTCTCTCTCTCTTTTTTCTCTTTTTCTCCCACTGCCCCTCCCCTGCTTGCTCACACACTCTCTCAATAAATAAATAAATAAATAAATAAAGTGACTATTACCAAGTGTTAGTGAGAATGTGGAGGAACTAGAACAATTCTACACTATTAATGGGGATGTAGTTATATAATCTCCTTGGAAGATAATGTGGTAGACAGAAATAATGACACCTCAAAGACATTCACATTCTAATCCCTGGTACCTGTGGAATCTGTAAATATGTAAAAGGGACTTTGCAGATGTTATTAATTGAATGACTGTAGAGATTTCAAGAGAGTATTTTGGATTATTTAAGTGGGATCATTGTAATCATAAGGATCCTTGTAGGAAGAAGGCAGGAGGATCAGAGTCAATGGTAAGAGATAAGATCACAGAAGCAAGGGGTCTGAGTGCCCTGAGCAAGAGGGCAGCAGCCAGCACGCAGGAAGCTTAGAAACTATGAAAGGAAAGCAGTGGATTCTCCCCTGTGGCTTCCAGATGGAACACGGCCCCTCGACACCTTGATTTTAGACTTTGACTTCTAGATATGCAACAACATAAATCTATGTTGTCCTAAGTCACTTGGTTTGTGGTAAGTTGTTACAGTAGCAAGAGCATTGGTAGATGCTTAAAACAGTAAAAGTACATCTACAATATAATCCAGTCTTCTGCTCCCAGGTATTTATAAAAGAGGGATGAAAGTATATGCTCATTTAAACATTGTATATGAATGTTTACAGAAGTTTATGGATAAGAGAAAAAACCTGGAAACAAGCCAAATGTTACAGGTGAATGGATAAACAAATTAGAGTATATCTGTACAATGCAATGTTACTAAACAATAAAAAAGAATGACATTTTTTGGTTTCACATGTAAGGAGCTTGAAATTACCACTCCAAGCTAACACAACGCAAACTTGAACAGATTAAAAAACCAGCAATTCTTCTTGGATCCATAAGAGATAGAAGGACTCTGGGCAAACTACTGCTCCCAAGATTGGAGAGAGAGACATGTGAATAGAAGGAAACAAGACTTACCAGCAGAG